GTCAGATATAGTTCGAACCATTATTTCTCATAATCAGTGTTTGTCTAAGCTAAATCTTCAGTGGCCCCGGGGTATGTATACTACACTTTTTTGTCTTTCTTTCTTAAGGAATGCATGACAAAGAATGACGCCACACATTTTTCTCCTTACTCCTCATACTTCGAACACATTAAAAAGACATGTTTTTCATGTTCTAATGCTTTTATTACTGAGTCATCGGTTAAATAAGCTGCAATCACCATCATCTACTGAAGAAACTACGGAAAGAATATTTGGTTTAAAAGCGTTATATAAATGTATAATACATTGATTTCCTATTTGATATATTTCGTGTTGTGTTATCAGTGGACACATTATATCTTTTTTCTTTCTAATCAATAGTGTGTCAGTCGTTACATCATCTTCAGTAAATCATACTGACTTATTCGTAAATCAATCGAAACTATCGGAATAGGATACTATCGAATATTTGATAGAAGTTAATACGTGAAACAGATTCGATAGGCTATTTTATTGCGATTGATTGAATAAAAGAAAAAAACCGAAGAACAGAAATATAGAAATCTGTAAAAGTATCTCTTTATAAGATTTTCTTTAAGTAATACGTTTTTTTATCGTTCCATTTCATACGTAGAATCTCATGTACTGTAGAAGACAAAAGCGAAAGTATAAAATAATTAACATATAGATGGTCATTAAGGTAGCTTAGAATAACACTTTACTTTATGTAATAATAAATATTGATAGATTTATTTTCTTTATTGAAAAAGTTTAACGACATAAATGAAGGAGATAAGAATTCGTTTTCTAAACAAATAAATTGAAGAGTATTTGTCGTAATTTCAATTTCATTTTTCCGGAGTAATTCTGGTTATTCAAATGAATATGAAATTGAAATGAGATTTGTTTTTGATGATATTTAGCCTGCTCATAAGCTTATTTCTCTGAGTACGTGTCGATATATAATTTAAGAAAAATTGTTAGTATATTGCACCGGAGATAAGTTTCTTTTGGCTTTCCTTTAAATGCTAAATAATTTGAAATAAAAACCAAGTAAACAATTTAACTCTATAGTTATTATATTAATACAAGTTTTATTGCTTTTCGTGATCGTCCTCTTTTTCTTTTTTTGCTAGGGACTTATTCTCTGATGATGAAGATGGTTTGCAAAACTTCAACCTAATATCCATATCAGTAATATATTTGCAAATATATCCATTGAAAAAGCTGAAATAAAAGTGCAGTTCGATTTTCTATTTTGATAGGGTCTGAGGATAGCAATGTCTTATAAAAGACTAAATTCATAAACGCCAACATCCTACAAGTAACGTTCATCGACATTCAATGTCGATTCACTTGGCCCTAGACTGACGGAATGATGAAAAAGATGTCCTTGTATTTTTAAATAAAAATGAATTCTGTATAATGATGAGTTTAGGAGAAATTATTAATATTTGTAACATGTTCTATATTACATACTATAGATATATTCAAAATAGTTCACATAAAATATTGAAAGATGCTAATGCATATGATAAAGTTTTTGCTTTTGTTAATTATAACGACTAGAAATAGTGATTTATGCAAAAGTAATGACCATTTCTAATACGGACATGGCCAATTGTGACACAGACATGGCCATTTGAGCCATAAGAATGATCAACAATGCCATAGAAATGGTTGATTCTGCCATGAAAATGGCGAATTGAGCCACAGAGACGGTCATCTCTCTAACGTAAATGGCCAATTGTGTCAAATAAGTGGTCATCTGTACCACCAAAGTGGTATATTATACCATGAAAATGGTCGTTTGCACCACTATTATGGTCACTTGTAACAAGACTATGGCACTTTGTACTATGAAAACGGTCATTTGCACTACGGCTAGGGTACTTTGTACCATGAAAATGGCCAATTCTGCCACAGAAATCGTCATTTTGTACCGCAGAAATGGTCATTTGTGCCACAGAAATGGTCATTCGTGCCATAGAAATGGTCATTTGTGCCATAAAAATGGGCATTTGTGCCACAGAACTGGTCATTTGTGCCATAAAAATGATCATTTCTGCCACAGAAATGGTCATTTGTGTCATAAAAATGGTCATTTCTGCCACAGAAATGGTCATTTGTATCATAAAAATGGTTGTTTATGCCACAGAAATGGCCCTTTGTATCATAGAAATGGTCATTTATACCACAGAAATGGTCTTTTCTGCCATAAAAATGGTCATTTGTGCGACAGAAATGGTCATTTGTGCTATAAAAATGGTCATTTGTACCACAGAAATGGTCGTTTGTGCCACAGAAATGGTCATTTGTGCCACAGAAATGGTCGTTTGTGCCATAAAAATGGTCCTTTGTATCACAGAAATTGGTCGTTTGTGCCACAGAAATGGTCGTTTATGCCATAAGAATGGTCGTTTGTGCCATAAAAACGGCCATTTGTGCCACAGAAATGGCGATTTGTCCCATAGAAATGGTCATTTCTACCATAAAAATAGTCATTAGTGCTATAGAAATGGTCATTTGTGCCAACCCCTTTGTTACAGACAGATAGACACACAGACAGACAGACGGATATACAGACACATGTGAATTACGGTTTCTAGACCCTAGCCTTTCAGTCTAGGGAAAATCTACGCTCAGGCACACCCTTATTCGCTCGAATCAATTAAAATGATTTCTCAGCAACTGTAATTTTAACAGAGAGTTTTGTCAATTTCGGCGTGTGTTTATCGATATGAGTTTTGGATATTAATAAAAGCCTTCTTTTTATAAACAATTTCTTCTTTATATTCACTCATTTGAAGTAGCTTCCAATGACTGATATTTACACAAAAACAAGATACACAGGTCGGGAGAACTTGCTAGAAAAGGGGAAGCACGAAAAAAAAGTTCGAAAAACTAATACATAGAGTAGTCAAAAAGTTCTGCAACTTTCAAATATTTATTGATAGAGAAAACATTTTGCTAATCTTTTTACAGTAAATGTTCGAAGTACTTCCCATGATGTTCAATACAAAGTTTCATACTTTGAATCCATTTCTTAAATGTCTTTTCGTATTCATGAATAGGTATTGAATTGAGCTCCTTGGATAACACTTTAGCTAACCTTGTAGCATCTGGATATGTGCCAAGGCTACGTTTCAGACAATTGAACAACCAAAAGTCTAAAGGAGCAAGGTCAAGTGAGTATAGTGGATGAACCATAACTTTGATTTTCTTCTCTTGAAAATAATTAAGATTGAGAACAATATCTTACATATGTGATTTTGCATTTTTATAATGCAAGTTTGTGATACTAATTTTTGATGATGAGTTTTTCTTATGTAAATTTTTGACTAAAATCTTCAAGTACTCATCACGATAGTTTGTATAATAACTATGTCTAAGATGGTAGTAACATAATCAATACTAATATGTGGATCATTATTCACCAGGTCCTGGACCAGATCAATATTCTGTTGAGTCATGACGGATAACGGATGACCATTCGAAGGATTATCGTCTAATGACTCCCGCCCACTTAAAAATCGATGAACTCAATTAGCACCTGTACTATATGAAATAACACCTTGTCCATAAGCAGCAGTTAATTCATCATGAATTAATGTAGCAGTTAAACCTAATAAAAAATCAGCTTTTATATACGAGCGAATACGAAGTTAATCAATCTGAAAATAGGTATGTTGAAAAATCCATTAAAGATTTGCCGTAACAGACACTTGTGAAACTTTGTATTGGTATTTTAATACATGAGAGGTGTCACTACTAGAATAGACCAACATGAGGAATAAAACCAATTAGGATGAAATTTTAGACAACTGTTTGCAGAACTTTTTGACTACCCTATGTACATATCAAGTATAAAAGAAACAAAAGGCAGAAAAAAGAAAATATTCTATTGGAACATCCTCGAAAAAAAATATATGCATTCAAGCATGACATCGAAACAAAAAATATAGGCAAAATACACGTCTATTATGGTGATACTTCAATACTGACAGAGGCCGGGGATGGCGTAGTGGTTCTATGCATCTGATTACGGTCAGAGATCAGAAGGTTCTATTCCTTCCCTCGGCACGGTGCATTCGATGTCAAGATATATGGTATCGGAAGAATAAACAAAAGAAAAGCAACGATGCACGCTACATCGTCATCATTGGCTCGATTTCGATTTTCATTCTGTTCGTTTTCATTTCTTTGTATTCTTTCTCTGTTTGTTATCATTATCTTGTCCGTTGCATACATTCGTAAGCGTCCACCAAAAATTGTAAAAAATCTCCCAAAAAAACCATGGATGTCACGAATAAAATTCAGCATAATTAAAAAAAAAATACTGACAGAAGAAAACGAAAGGAGAAAATGCATACGCCATACCATTATCAAAAAATCAGCGTATTTCATATATTTATATTTAGTTTTTATTAGAAATTATGTTAAAGTAGTAACTCTTCTTAGCGATTGTGTTTTATAACACTTAACAGTCAATTTATTTCTTGTGGAAACACGAATTCTACTTGGTAAAAATGAGCTTAGCATTTTAATAAATCTACTTAACAAATAAATTGACGTTGTTTCTGTTTACATTTGTTTTGCGCTTGACACGCGATGAATGTAGTGTTGAGAAAATATTCTTTCACTTATTTTTTTTCGTTCGCTCGTGGAAAAAAAAATATTCTGTCAATAACCCAAGCAGACTAGACGAATTGAACGTGGGTTAACGAATGCGATTGGTGTTTCTATCTGGCGACACTAATCAGATTTCTTAATTCACTTTCCATTCGTCCAATCTATCAAAGCTGACCTTATCTTTCTTTCTTTCTTCTTTCGTTTATATATAGTCGTTCACTCCGACAGATAACAACACACTAAGATATCTATTTCTTCTTACAAACTTCATGTCGTTATCATATCACGTGTTGGATAAAAGTGGCAAAGCAACGATTAGTTGCCTGTCTCGTTATATTGAAGAAAACGATGAGATTCCCAAATTGAAGATGCCTCAACAGGCATTGTCTGAAAAATCAGCGTCTTCTATCATCCGTAGTGAATTAAGACTCGATGGTAATCCTGACCTCAATTTAGCTTCATTTGTTACCACCGAAATTGACGATGAATGTCATAATTTAATGGTCGAGAATTTGAACAAGAATTTAGCTGATACAAGTCAATATGCGCACAGTAGTGAACTTCAAGATCGTTGTATCAACATCTTAGCTAATTTGTTTCATGCACCTCCAAACGACGAAGGTGGAGCAGTCGGAACAGCCACTATTGGTTCAAGTGAAGCAATTATGTTAGGTGGCTTAGCTCTTAAATGGCGTTGGCGTACCAAACAAGCTGAAAAACAAGGAAAGAAGCCAGAAGAAGTGACTACTCGATGCAATCTGATATTCAGTGCTGCTGTACATGTCTCCGTTTTAAAACTATGCCGATACTTTGATATTGATGCTCGGATTATTCCTTTGGAACACGATTGTTACACGCTGAATATTGATCAAGTCATCGCTCAATGTGATGAAAATACATGTGGTGTACTAGCTATTCTCGGCACTACACTGACAGGTGAATTTGAAGACATCAAACGATTAAACATTGCATTGTTAAAATTGAAGAATGAGAATGGTTTAGACATTCCTATCCATGTTGATGGTGCTTCAGGTGCCATGGTCGCTCCTTTCGTTTTTCCAGAGATCGAATGGGACTTTAGATTGGAACAAGTTCGATCGATTAATACTAGCGGTCACAAATACGGACTAGTATTACCAGGTTTGGGCTGGATTGTTTGGCGGCGCAAAGAAGATCTTCCTGAAGACTTAATCTTTCACGTTAATTACTTAGGCGTCGATGAACCAACATTCAATCTCAATTTCTCCCGCTCTGCTGCCAATGTAATTGGACAATACTACCAGTTTCTCCGATTGGGCGTTCAAGGTTACAGAAAAATCATGGAACTGGCAGTGGACAACGCTAAATATTTAGCTGATTCGTTAACATCAATGAGTGAGTGATTATTTATTATTCGCAGTCAAAACGACAAACCCTCCCTACCAATGGTCGCATTTTCACTCAATCCAGCAAAAAATCTTAAATTTAAGGAAACAAATATCGTTGAACATTTAAAAGAATATGGTTGGATTGTCCCTGTCTATACAATGGCTGCTAACGCAAACGATATTACTGTTTGCAGAATTGTTGTACGCGAAACTTTTACTCGCAATATTGCTTCGATTCTTCTCGAGGACATTCGACTTGTTATGGTTCGTTTGGCTAATGAACATGACCACCAAGACTTGCTTGATTCGTTGAATGCAGCGCGTGATGACAAGCATCAACATCGACGATCGAAACAACATCGTGATAAAGTAGCGATATATATAGAATCGAACAAACAGGTTAATCAACATCATATTGACAATAAGAAGAACGAGAAAAATAGCAAAGAAAACAAGAATAGATGTCCTACCGTGCACATCATCTGCTAGAATACATCCCTTTATAAACATAATTCTTTTTACTTGGTGAAAATGCGCTTTTCATGCTTTTCTTTGTTAAACTAGCATTCATTGGATCATTGGTATCCAAAAAAAAATGAAATAAATTTCTCTAGGTTTTATCAGCGCTTTTATTACTCATATTTCTTATCAAAAAGCGGGACTACACACTAAAATAAAATGTGTCGTATATATGTGTCGCACAAGAATGTGTCGCAGACTCCATTACAAAAATGTGTCGTACAAAAATGTGTCGCATTATAGATGTGTTATAGCCTATATGTCAATCGTTCATTCACCGATTTGTTTCGCGAGTGCAGCTGCATATAACCGAGCCTATTGGACGTACTTGACTTATACATTTTCGTATGTCTTTTTTTTCTAGATTATTTCTCGACCATTTATTATTCGAGAACATGTCGAGAGGTCGCTAGATGATCGAGAATGGACTGCCTCGAAGTAGTCTGATCGAGATCAAATGGTATCGAGGCAGCTAGATCTTACGATCTACCGTCTCGAACTCCAAGAATAGGTGCTACTGTTTGAAATTAACTGACAAAATAGTAACTATTCGAATTTTCAAAAAAATAATCCTCGTGCCGAAAAATGGATTCGAACCACGTGTTAAAAATGTGTCGCATGTGTCGCACAAGAATGTGTCGTACGTCCGCTGGAAGAAATGTGTCGCAACGAGCTCCTCGTGTCGCATATTAATGTGTCGTACATTGTGTCGCAAAGTGCGACACATGCGACACATTTTATCTTAGTGTGTAGGGGTGCAACGGTGACGTTAACCGGCCTAATCGGTAACCGGTCTAACGGTAACCGGTGAACCGGTAACCGGTACGAACCGGTAACCGGTGAACCGGTAATCGGTATGAACCGGTAACCGGTATGAACCGGTTACCGGTTCACCGGTAACCGCCATGAACCGGAAACCGGTCTGAACCGGTTACCGGTTCACTCGCATAGTAGTTTATGTTTACAACCATATTTTGATATAAAGCAGGTATCCATAATTAGGGGTGGGAAGTTACCGTTATCAGTTACCGACGAACGGGGTAACGGCCATACTATTGCGGGATACCCTTGAGCCCTCAAGTCCTATTACTGAGAGGTATCCTTGGGTCCTCAAGTCCTACTATTGGGAGGTACCCTTGAGTCCTCAAGTGCTACTATTAGAGGGTACCCTTGGGTCCTCAAGTCCTATTATTGGGGGTACCCTTGAGTCCTCAAGTCCTATTACTGAGAGGTATCCTTGGGTCCTCAAGTCCTATTATTGGGAGGTATCCTTGGGTCCTCAAGTCCTATTATTGGGAGTACCCTTGGGTCCTCAAGTCCTACTATTGGAGGGTACTCTTGGGTCCTCAAGTCCTATTATTGGAGGATACCCTTGGGTCCTCAAGCGGTGCTATTCGGGGGTATCCTTGGGTCCTCAAGTCCTATTATTGGAGGGTA